TGTGCAAATGACACAACCTTGCTTGCTGAAAGTGAAAATGACTTGAATCACTTACTGATGAAGATCAAAGACTACAGCCTTCAGTATGGATTATGACTCAATGTAAAGAAAACAAAATCCTCACAACTGGACCAATGAACAACATCATGATAAATGGAGAAAAGATTGAAGTTGTCAAAGATTTATTTCATTTTACTGGGATCCACAATGAACACCCATGGAAGCAATAGTCAAGAAATCAAATGACTTGCACTGGGCATATCTGATGGAAAAGACCTTTATAAAATGTTAAAGAGCAAAGATGTCACTTTGAGAACTAAGGTGTGCCTGACCCAAGCCATAGTATTTTCAATTGCCTCATATACATATGAAAGCTGAACAATGAATAAGGAATACTGAAGAAAAATTGATACAAACTCACTGCCCTGGAGTCGCATGAGACCCATAGCGACCCCTCCTTGGGTTTCTGAGGCAGTATCACTACGGAAGTAGATTGCCTAATCTTCCTTCCAAGAAGTGGCTGGTGGGTTTGAACTTCCAGCCTTCTGGTTAACAGTCAAATGCCTTAGGTGCTATGCCACCAGAGCTCACTTGATTAGTGTTGGGAAGTACACGGAATATACAATGGACTGCCGAAAGAATGAACACTTCTATGTTGGAGGAAGCACAGCCAGAATGCTTCCCACAAGTGAGGGTGGCAAGACATCCTCTCACGCTCTGGTCATGCTATCAGGAGGGCCTATTCCCTGCAGAAGGATGTCATGCTGGGTAAAGTACAGGGTCAGCAAAAAAGAGGAAGACCCTGCAATCCTTACCGAAACAACAGAGGACAGACATAGATTAATCCCTCACAGACACCCAGACGCTGTGGGAGAGAGATCCAGCAGCTCTACCGACTTAGGAACATAGTACTGGGGGACACCAGACTCAGTTGGCACAACAAAAAACATAAAAGTCTTGTTTGTCATCCTACATTGGCGAGTAGTGACTGGTGTCTTAAAAGTTTTCAAGTGGCCATCTAAGATGCAGTTTATGGTCTCCTATCATCGGAAGTGAAGAAGAGTGCAAAAAACAAAACAAACAAACAAAAAAAAAA